ATGACACGCGCGCGTCCGATGCAAATGTGACATAGCCTGGACAAACAACAAAGCTGAACGCGGGCGACCGCGTGCAGCAACTGCTTCACGCGGTGGCGCACATGGGTGGTGGAAAACGCCGGCAAATCAATGGGTGGTGGACAAGCGCGTGCGTGGCCAACGTGCAATGCGGACGCCACCGTTGAAGGGCAACCCCACCGCAGCCAACGCTGCGACAAGCATAGGTAGGTGGAGCCGAAATGACGAAATTAAATTACAACCATCTAAGCACATTAGCGTCTGTACGCGCTACATCAAGGTCGCACCGCTCCAAGAGGCAAGCAAGTGAGGAAAAAACGAACCCGCCACCGGGCTACGCCAACGAAAGCAGCTGGAAATCAAGCTGACATACACCTGACACCAGCAAGATGCGACCTGCAGCCCCAGGTGTAATTCACACCCCAAATCCAATGCAGACGCGAAAAGTTAAAGAGGCCGCGGCCATGCTGGGCCCCAAGAGGGGCAATACGAGCTGACATCTTGAGTCTTTCCCGCCGTGATGGCCCCAAGAGTCCCCCAGCGACCCCCGAGGCGCCCCCAAGAGGCCCCAAAAGGCTTCTCACAGGCACCCGAGAGGCCCCCACGAGCCCCCCCTAAAGCCAATCAAGTGCCCCCAAGAGCTCTTCAAGAGGCCCCTGAGAAACGTTCCGATAAACCTTAATATGCATCCCCAGGGCTCCTGACCCACAGTCCAGGCACGGTGGTGCGACTCCTGACGCTTTGACTGTTATGGGGGGTTCCGCGAAGTGGCATAAGCCTCTTGAATAAGAAGCCCCAATGCAAACACTGTTTGCGTACGACCGACCTTCCGGTCTACAAAAAACTCCGTGCCCACGAAGAGTCGCTTCTTCATCCCTTCACGGGTGGTAATCCCTTTTTCCTTCCTTCCTTTCCTCGTCTTCCCCCTCATCCTCCTGCCCCCTCCTCCTAGATCGCTCACAGCGATCCCAGGCGCAGCGGGGACGGCGAGCGAGGCCTCCGCACCCCATTTGTCCGCCCAAGACTTGGAGCCACAGCGGCAGCCGAGAGGCCATCAGGGGGAATGTGTCCTGGGTGGACGCGCCTCCATCGGGCCTCCTCCTCCCCGTCCTCCTGATGCTCCTGCTCCTGCTGCTCCTGCTGATAAGACTGCTCCTGCTGCTCCTGCTGTTCCTGCTGTTCCTGCTGTTCCTGCTGCTCCTGCTGCTCCTGCTGCTCCTCCTCCTCCTCCTCCTGCTGCTGCTGCTGCTGCTGCTGCTTCTCCTCCTCCTCCTCCTCCTCCTCCTCCTCCTCCTCGCCCCCGCCTCCTCCTGCTACTCCTCCGCCTCCCGATCCACCTCCCGATCCACCTCCTCCTCCTCCTCCTCCTCCTCCTCCTCCTCCTCCTCCTCCTCCTGATCCGCCTCCTCCTCCTCCTGGTCCGCCTCCTCCTGATCCGCCTCCTCCTGCTCCCTCCTCAGCTCGCCTTCTTCCCCCCCCCCCGCCCCCCCCCGCGGGGTTCCTCCAGGAGCGGGCGGCCGACCTCCCGGTAGTGCGCCGTGCGGTAGGAGAAGGCGCCCTCGCTGGCAGGGGGCGGGCGGGGAAGCAATGCCTCCGCGGGGCGCCGCGGAGGGGGAGGAGCGCGTGGGCTGGGCACTGCCCTGCCGGGGGCGGCGAGGAGGAGCAGCAGGGGCAGGAGAGGGAGGAGAGGGAGGAGAGGGAGGACGAGCGCTGGGGTAGCAGGAGCAAGGGGAAAGGGGAGCAATCCTCAGTGGGGTTGGAAGTGACGAGGACGAGGGCAGAGAGCAGCATGGGAGAGGGAAATTGAAGCGGGGAGGAGGAAGACGACGACGACGACGACGACGACGACGACGACGACGGCGACGACGACGACGACGAAGGAGATGATAACGAGGGGGCGACGAGGACGAGGTCTAGGAGACAAATCATAAAATGAATGGTAGGCGGAGGTTGAATAGATGGGGAAACCATAAGATCAGGAGAAGCGGGTGGGGAAACAGGGGAGAAGGAAGGCACACGCGGGACGAGGTGGTTGATGGCGATGGGAAGGACGAGGCGGAACAACAGGGGGAGAAGGATAACAACTAGGAGGGAGGAGTGGATGGAAGCGAGGATCCAGGAGGGAGGGAGGGTCTAGGATAATGAGGAAGAACGAGCTGCTCTGAGACATGTCATCACGCAGCAACGGTCTCTCAAAAGAAGGACGCGGCGGATGGGCGTATGAAGGACGAGCGAGGGGCGAATAAGGGAGGAGGGGGAGGAGGGAGGGATCTACGAGGACGAGAACGAGGATTGTGACGACGGTGGTGAATATGTATGTGGATGATGAAGAAAATGAGGACGAAAAACATACGAATACTTAAGTCTGTCCTGTAGGCGTGGTACGAGGGGACATGGTGATTACCAGAAGCTGCCAGCCGCAGAGGGCATGATCGCGACGCAGGCCCGAGGTGGATAAGACGTCTGGCTCACCCGCCTTCTTGAAGGCCACTGCACCACAGCAGAAAGCCACATTCCCTGTACGCAAACATTCGCGACGAGCAAGGCTGCAGCAGGATCGCACGGCTAGAGAACGAGATGGCTCCACCACCTCGCACACTACGTGGGCGATCAGAGAGGGAGCAGACTGCAGCGCGTCTTGGCTGGAAATGTAAATCACGAGGCTGACAACAAAGGGGGATACAGTCGGACCTAGGACAGAAGAACATCCTTCAAGAGCATGAGACCTCTGCTAGCCAAAACATGCAGAACATCCATGGGTACCCTCCCCAGGATGCACGAGAACATCCAACAAACACGGAGAACATTAGGGTACCCTCCCCGAGCCGACCTCTCTCTTATACCTCGGTCCGACTGTACCCCGAGCGCCAGCGCAACATCACTGAAGAGGAGAAGGACGAGACAGGACGAAACGGCAGCAACGGAGATGCCCGCCCGCGATCACCCGCCCCACGACCCCTTCCCACGGCCGCAGCTCCGGGGAGGAGGTGTCCCACCCCCCCTCCAACACACAGGGCACGGGCGCACTCAGAGGCACATTCAGACTCCAGATCGTCTTCTCTCGCATGGGAGCCATCGTGCGCGTCAGGCGCCAGATCCACGCCAGCCTCTTGCCGGGTGCGCTTGCGGGTCCTCGATCGGATTACTTGGCGAGACATATAGAAGGTCACGTCCACCGGAGATCCACAAGGCGAGGCGACCCAGGTCCCGCAGCCGCCCACGGCAAATCGACCGCGACCGCAGCAACAGGGCGAGCAGGAGGCGCACCCTCCCAAGAGCCAAAAGAGCCTTGCCGCGCACAGTGGCCAACTGGGATCGGAACGAACAGTGACATAGACATAAAAACTCGGAGGTCCGCGCGGATTTCTCGGATCGGCGCCGGGCCCCCCCGGCGGCGCCAGGCCAGGGAGGGGGGGCCAGCGCCGATCCGAGAAATTCGCGCGTACCTCCGAGTTGTTGTGTGTTACGTCATTGTTGCTCGTTCCCCTGGCACATCTCCATCTCTGGCCATGCCCTCAGGAACAACAAGAAGAGCAGCTCGTACACCGCCTCAGACCCCGTTCCGAGCATGCGCCGCTGCCAAGAATACACGCCCTGGTCGACGACACCCCTCAAGAGCGGCAGCGCAGGGCTCCAGGCATCCTCCTCCTCCTCCTCCTCCTCCTCCTCCTCCTCCTCCCTCCCTCCCTCCCTCCCTCCCTCCCTCCCTCCCTCCCTCCCTCCCCCTCCCTTCCTCCCCTCCCTCCTCCCTCCCTCCCCTCCCTCCCCTCCTCCCTCCTCCCTCCTCCTCCTCCCTCCTCCTCCTCTCCCCTCCCTCCTCCCTCCTCCCTCCTCCCTCCTCCCCTCCTCCCTCCTCCCTCCTCCTCCCTCCTCCCTCCTCCCTCCTCCCTCCTCCTCCTCCTCCTCCTCCTCCTCCTCCTCCTCCTCCTCCTCCTCCTCCTCCGGCGGACGCGGGTCTGCCGCGCGCCGGAAGCACTGTGGTCGGGAGCCGGCGCAGCCCCCCAACCCCAGGACAAGCACACCGCTCAGCGGCATGCAAGCCTCAGAGCCGAGGGGGAGCGCCGACCAGGGCCTATACCTCGCTTGCACGGGAGCTTGGCGCCGATGGCCTGCGGCCTGCGGCCCCACCGCCAGGCGCCACACCTCCTCCAGGAAGCACAGCACCAGCGCGGTCCCACCGCCAGGCGCCGCTCGGCCCCGCAGCGCCGCAGCCGCCCCGGACGCCCCCGCGCCGCCGCCGCGGGCCGCCGCGCCACCAGCCGTCGCCCCGCCGCCGGCTTGCGCCGGGCGCCTGCCGCGCCGCCGGCAGCAGCCGCCGCGCCTGCCCCGCGCCCGCCTGCCGCCGCCCGCGGCCCGAGCAGCTCCGGCAGCAGCCTGGCGCCCCTCTCCTCAGCTCCTCCCCTCCTGCTCCTCCTCCTCCTCCTCCTCCTCCCCTCCCCCTCCCCCTCTCCTCCTCCTCCTCCTCCTCATCCTCCTCTCCTCCTCCTCCTCCTCCTCCTCCTCCTCCTCCTCGCTGATGTCGAAGAACCCCAGCCGCACGCGAGGCTCGCTGGCGAGGCTTCAGCCTGCGGCAAGCCCGTCAGCAGACGCCACGCCTTCACGCGTCACGTCGCTGGGGCCAGGCAGCAGCCAACAGCCCGGAGCAACCCAACGGCCACGCGCCGCAAACCCATCGCGCCGCTCGCATCCGTGGACGGCGCCGAACTGCTAGACAATGAATCCGTAGAACGCTCAGGATCAAGAGGCAACGTTGTCGGTGCTGGGTGAAGGTCAATCTCGCGCGGCAAGCTAGCTTGCCCGACAGAGCCTGAGCACGATGATGATGTTCATGAGGACTCATGCGATGATCGGCAGTCTGTAATTAAGAAAATGCGGAACCAATCAAACAGACATGGGTATTGGAGCAAGGGCGTGCGGCAAGAAAACGTGAAACATGATGGCGATGGGTACTGTGATGACGACGAATATGTGGAACCAGGACAGAGAGAGATGAAGAAAGGGAAAAGAGGATGAATGGCGCAAAGAAGTTGGTTGACGGGAAAACGGGCCGAAGATGGACGTGGGTATACACCAACCGTCTCTGTCGACGTACTAAGCTGAATGGCGGGGTGGTCGGAGCCGCTTTTCCACTCGAACGCCTCCCCGTTTCCCTGCGGCCACCTGGGGCTCCAATTTGCAATCGAATCGATGAAACCGGCGCGACCGTAATCAGGGCAAAGCTTCCTACTGCATGGGCACAATGCTTGGCATGCCTTTGCATTGCTTGGCGTTGCTTGCCACTGCTTGGCTTTGCTTGATGTTGCCTTGTATTGCTTGGCGTTGCTTGGTGCTGCTTGGCTGGACGGAACCCAATACCAAGGAAACCGAGGAAGGCAACAAAGAACCAAGACCACAAACCCGAGGAAAACAGACAGACAGACAGACAGACAGACAGACAGACAGACAGACAAAGACAGAGAGACAGAGAGGTATGGGAGAAAGCAAATGCGAAACTTTAGAACTTTCCGGGCTTGATGTCTTCGTTGGATTCTAACAATCTCACCGTATCGGTCGCAAGACCGTCCGAAACGGCCCAAGAAGCTTCAAAGGTCAGCCCCGATCGCCCCCAAGACCACGCCAAACCACGCTGCCGCCGCGGCGCTGGAAGCCAACCCCAAGAGGTCCCCAAGAGGCCTCAAGAGGTCCCAAGACGCGCCCAAGCGCCCAGGATCCCCCCACGAAGCCCCCCCCAAGAGCCCAGAATATGTCCCCAAGGCCTCTGAAACACTACCCTATCGCAGTGGCAAAGTGGGCCGAGGATCACGATATTGGCGCCATCGCATTACAGGCGGCACTGGCTCTTGCCTTCGACCCCATCCTGCTTTCTGTGCCCAAGTGATTTTCTTCTCTGGGTCGGCGGAACCAATCGAAAGACCTTTGCTGTAAGGAGGAAGAGAGGACATGGAGAAGAGAGAACGGGTGAAGGATGGGGGAAGGAAGGATGGAGATAAAACGGAGGTGTGCGGAGGGCAGAGAGAGAGAGAGACGAGGCATCCTGGCCATCTGTGAGCTTCTGCAACTGCGCCGCGTAGTCCAGAATCTCGCGGACCGGGGCCTGAGCAGGCCGGCCGATGCTTCATCGCGAGGTTCACACACCACGTCGCAAGCACGGGTGGCAGACGCGTGGCTGGCAGTGGTAAGAGCTAGATGGCACAACTGTAACCACTAGCAGGCATCAGCGGCTGCATCGAGAAGCACCCATGAGGACCCGAGAGCCTGGAACAAGTGGCACGCGTGCCATGGCTCTTGCACAAAAACGAAAGGGGATGATGATGATGATGATGATGATGATGATGATGAGGAGGAGGAGGAGGAGGAGGAGGAGGAGAAGGGGGAGGAGGAAGGAGGGAAGAGGGGGCGAGACATCGGAGAAGGAGGGAACAAAGAGGGCCGCAAGAGAGGCTCAGACCTTTAACATGCTCCCAGGCGGCCTGCAACAGACACGCAAGGATCCCACAGAGGGTCCCAAGAGGTCCCAAAGAGCTCCAAAAAGGCATTGAAGAGACTCCCCGGATGCCCCCAAGGTCCAAGGAGGGCCGGAAGAAATGATTGAGCCGACCCGGCTGCTGGAGGCTCGCGGTGCAAACTGCCACACCTTACGGCCTTGTGCTGGGAACGCTTGTCCAGGGCAATGGTTTTGCGCACAGAGTCTGTCAGGTATGTCCTTGGAGGCCGGCAGGCTTGTCTACGCCTCGCGAATAAGGGCCTTTCCCAAAGACCAGACTTCCGGCCCGAGCCGCTTCGCTCGCCGGCACCGGAGCGTCCAGGAGCGGCGCCCCCGACGACGACGACGGCGACGACGACGACGGCGACGACGGCGGCGGCGACGACGGCGGCGGCGACTACGGAAAGCGGGGGCGGCGGCCTGCAGTGGGGATGGGGGGCGGGAGCGGTGGCCTGCCGAGGGGAGCGGCGAGGGGAATGGGGGCTGCGACGCGAAAACTGAGAAGGGCCGGGGCGGAAGCGGCACTGGGCTGCTGGAGGAACACCATCGTGAAACCAGAACGACCGCTTCACTGCTAGATCTACACTGGGCCCCATAATCCAATCATCATCACATTATCGTGATTATTCCTCATATGTTGCTTCTCCCCAATCCTAATCATTGTCATCATTACCAGTCCTAGTACGGCTCGCACCAGTATTACTATTGTTATGTATGATATTTTTGATATTATTTTCATTGAAGTAGTATCATGCGTACTATTCGTACGGTTATGATTACTAATAATAAGAAGTAGTAGTAGCAGCAATTGTAGTAGTAGTCGTCGTCGTAGAAATAGTAATAGTAGTAGTCGTCGTCGTAGTAGTAGAAGTAGAAGTAGAAGTAGAAGTAGAAATAGAAGTAGAAGTAGTAGTAGTAGTAGTCGTAGTAGTAGTAGTAGTAGTAGTAGTAGTAGCAGTAGTAATAGTAGTAGTAGTAGTAGTAGTAGTAGTAGTAGTAGTAGTAGGTCGTAGTAGTAGTAGTAGTAGTAGTAGTAGTAGTAGTAGTAGTAGTAGTAGTAGTAGTCGTAGTAGTAGTAGTAGTGTAGTAGTAGTAGTAGTAGTAGTAGTAGTAGTAGTAGTAGTAGTAGTAGTAGTAGTAGTAGTAGTAGTAGTAGAGTAGAGTAGTAGTAGTTGTAGTTGTAGTAGTAGTAGTAGTAGTAGTAGTAGTAGTCGTAGTAGTGATAGTAGTAGCAGTAGCAGTAGCAGTAGCAGTAGTAGTAGTAGTAGTAGTAGTAGTAGTAGTAGTGGTTGTTGTTATTGTAGTTGTAGTTGTAGTTGTAGTTGTAGTAGTAGTAGTAGTAGTAGTAGTCGTAGCAGTAGTAGTAGTAGTAGTAGTCGCAGTAGTAGTCGTAGTAGTAGTAGTAGTAGAAGAAGAAGAAGTAGTAGTAGTAGTAGTAGCAGCAGCAGTAGTAGTAGTCATAATAATAGTCTTAGTCGTAGTCGTAGTAGCAAGATTAGTAGTAGTAGTAGTAGTCGTAGTAGTAGTAGTAGTAGTAGTAGTAGTAGTAGTAGTAGTAGTAGTAGTAGTAGTAGTAGTAGTAGTAGTGGTAGTAGTAGTCGTAGTAGTAGTAGTAGCAGCAGCAGCAGCAGCAGCATCATCGCCGTCGTCGTCATCAGCATCATCATCATGCTGCTACCGATGCCCCTCCTAGACCTTATCCTCATCCTCCTCCTCAAGACTCAAGACTCAAAAACCCTTGTAAGCGATCACATTCAGAACTAAGACACATATCCGACCTGGACTCGTATCACAGTTGTTCGGGATTCTGGGAAGGCTCACTATGAAGCCGACGCAATTTGAGTGTGGCCAGCTGCCCACCATACGCTGAAGGCACTGGCCTGGCTGGCAACCATGAGAGGCACGCAGCCCCCAGAAAGGAGCCAGCACTCTCGGCACAGGCCTTCTGAAGATTAAGTTTCTTTATCCTCCTCCTCCTCCTCCTCCTCCTCCTCCTCCTCCTATTCCTATTCCTGCTCCTCCTCCTCATATTCCTCCTCCTCCTCCTCCTCCTCCCCCTTTTCCTCTTCCTAACTCATACCTCGTACATCCAACCGCATCCTCCCTCCTCTTCACCCTCCAGCCCTCCCTGCGATGACCTCGGCCTCGATGAGCTGGTGACCCTCTTCGGCATCCCGAGCGTCCCACACCTGACGGAAGGATGGCATGCTGTGGACCGGTGACGACGACGACGACGACGACGACGACGAGAACGACGACAAAGACGACGACGACGACGACCACGACGACGACGACGACGACGACGACGACGACGACGACGACGGCGACGACCCGTTGGCGTGGCTCCCGTTGGTGGCGGCGGGTTCCTTCGCACTCGCGCGCGGCACCATCCCGCGTATCATCACCCGGCGGGTGGCGCAACGGAGCCACCACCGCCACCGACAGGGAGAGGCTTCCCGTCATCCGCCACCGTGCCTCTGGCACGAAGTGGAGTGTACCAAGGCCACCGTTCCACGCAGGGTCCAAATAGGATCCCAATAGGATTCCAATCGGATTCTTTAGACTTCTTTTTCTTCTTCAGTTCGGATTTCCTCGGTTTGCGTTATTATTCGGTTTGGATGTGTCCTTCGATTTGCTCCCGACCATCCTGTGGTGTTGGGTTCTCGTTTTGAAGAGACAACGCCCCGCGTTGCTCCGTTTCCTTCTCCTTCTCCCTTTCCGTCCCCTTCTCTCTCTCCTTCTTCTTCTCATTCTCCATTCCTTTCTTTATGAATAACTCCTCCCTGTCACACCCGAGGCAAGTTATTAGGGCGGGTCGGGCGATTCGCCTCAGACTTCCTCACCGCTCATGGCCCTGAAGCTTAAACAGTGGCAACAATTTCACAGATGAAGGGCGGGTCGTTTTCAAAATGCGGCTCTCGCAATAGCGCCGAATACACTCGTTTCAAACGTGTTCAAAAGCTTCACGGGTTGATGGCGGCTCCTTTTCAACATGTGGCACTCACCTTAGCGTCACGCACATTCGTTTTGAACCTTTGCACAAGTGTCACACATTCCGATGCTCAGCGTGCAAGAAATTGTGCTTCGGAAGGGTTCTGAATTATGCGGGTGCAACAATTACGTTGATTCGCTGTGTTGGAATCCCAAGAACGGGGTTCTGGCACGATTCAGGATAGTCAAGACGCAACAATCAGGTTGATCCGTGGCGTTAGACTCCCGAGAACAATGTTTTGGTAGGCTTCAGGGTCTTCAAACGGTTGCCTTCTAGCGAGGCAGCTCCCTCAGCGGATCTGCACGGGAATGCGCACCCAGTGCAGCGCTTCGTGGCCCCATGGGGAGCTCCACCGAAGGCCCCCGTGGCTGTGACCACATGCGTCCGCGCACGAAGAGACAGCGCTGCGTGGCTCAACGGGAGGGTCCACCGAAGGCCCCCGTGGCTGTGACCACGTGCGTCCGCGCACGAAGAGACAGCGCTGCGTGGCTCAACCGGAGGGTCCACCGAAGGCCCCCGTGGCTGTGACCACGTGCGTCCGCGCACGAAGAGACAGCGCTGCGTGGCTCAACGGGAGGGTCCACCGAAGGCCCCCGCGGCTGTGACCACATGCGTCCGCGCACGAAAAAGCAGCGCTGCGTGGCTCAACGGGAGGGTCCACCGAAGGCCCCCGTGGCTGTGACCGCATGCGTCCGCGCACGAAGAGACAGCGCTGCGTGGCTTAACGGGAGGGTCCACCGACGGCCCCCGTGGCTGTGACCACATGCGTCCGCGCACGAAGAGGCAGCGCTGCGTGGCTCAACGGGAGGGTCCACCGAAGGCCCCCGTGGCTGTGACCGCATGCGTCCGCGCACGAAGAGACAGCGCTGCGTGGCTCAACCGGAGGGTCCACCGAAGGCCCCCGTGGCTGTGAATGCCCGATGCGTGTCCAACGGGAGGGTCCACCGCCCCGTGGCGTGACGCGTCCGCGCACGAAGAGACAGCGCTGCGTGGCTTAACGGGAGGGTCCACCGACGGCCCCCGTGGCTGTGACCACATGCGTCCGCGCACGAAGAGGCAGCGCTGCGTGGCTCAACGGGAGGGTCCACCGAAGGCCCCCGTGGCTGTGACCGCATGCGTCCGCGCACGAAGAGACAGCGCTGCGTGGCTCAACCGGAGGGTCCACCGAAGGCCCCCGTGGCTGTGACCGCATGCGTCCGCGCACGAAAAAGCAGCGCTGCGTGGCTCAACGGGAGGGTCCACCGAAGGCCCCCGTGGCTGTGACCACGTGCGTCCGCGCACGAAAAAACAGCGCTGCGTGGCTCAACCGGAGGGTCCACCGAAGGCCCCCGTGGCTGTGACCGCATGCGTCCGCGCACGAAGAGACAGCGCAGCGTGGCTCAACGGGAGGGTCCACCGAAGGCCCCTGTGGCTGTGACCACATGCGTCCGCGCACGAAGAGACAGCGCTGCGTGGCTCAACGGGAGGGTCCACCGAAGGCCCCCGTGGCTGTGACCGCATGCGTCCGCGCACGAAGAGACAGCGCTGCGTGGCTCAACCGGAGGGTCCACCGAAAGCCCCCGTGGCTGTAACCACATGCGTCCGCGCACGAAGAGAAGCAGCGCTGCGTGGCCCAACGGGAGGGTCCACCGAAGGCCCCCGTGGCTGTGACCACGTGCGTCCGCGCACGAAGAGACAGTCGGGGCGTTGACCTAAGGAACTCTAAATAAGGAACGAGGCCCCTTTTCTCCAGAAGTTGAACTTCGATTTCCCTTCGAAAACCTAAGGAAAACCTGAGGCAAGCTGCGAAACACTTAAGGAACGCGGAGCCCCTCCCCAACGAGAAGGGTTCCTTCTTCAGGGCCCCGACTGTACAGCGCTTCGTGGCCCGACTCGCCGTAGGCGTCTTCGACACTCTCCCCGACTTGGGCGGGAGGGCGCCCGCACGGCTGAGCAGCGCCACGGGATGGTAGTGGTAGGAGGAGGAGGAAGAGAAGAAGAAGAAATGAGAAGGGAAGAGGAGGCGAATGAAGGCAATGAGAACAGGGAGGTATGAAGGCGTGGACGAGTAGGGATAGGGACGAAAAGGCATGTCGAGGAGGCGGAGGAGGAGTAAGAAGAGGAGGAGGAGAACTACAACGACGATAGCGACGATGATGGGAAGGAAAACAACGTGACGAGGAGGGATGCGGACTGGAAGGGGGGAGAGGGGAAAGAGGGGGGCTGCGCATTGCAGTGGTACAAGTGTGGCCCTGCTTGCCTTTTCTCGATCAAGATCTCTCCTGGGCCCTCCTGAGGCCTTCTGGGGGCGCTCCGGGGGTCCGCATACAGGGAGCATCTGGGCCCGTCTTCGACCCTTCCTGGGCTCTTCTGGAGCCTCCCCTTGGGCTATCGTAGGCGCAAGTTGAGGCCTTACAGACATGTCAGAAGCCGGAGAGCGACCAGGCGAACATCGTTGATTCCAGTCCGACCTAGGCCACACGAGCATCCCTCAAGAACACGAGACCCTCCGCAGACCAAAACACTAGAGCAGCCAAGGGTACCCTTCCCAGGATGCACAAGCGCACCCAACGAACAAGAAAAGCACTAGGGTAGCATCCCCGAACCGACCTCGATCTTATACCTCGGTCCGACTGTATGTCTTGCGCTTTATTTGGGGTCTCTTCGAAGCTTGGTGGAGGCCATCTTGGACCACCGCGTGCCGTCTTGGTGACTACCTTAGAAGCCGCTCGACACGCAAGCAGTGTGGCAGAGTGACGGCTGGAGGGGTTGGCCCGTTCTGTTCATGTAGGGGGCCACAGGCGAACCCTACCCCTACCCCCCACGATTTCTGAGGGTGAGGGTGGGGTTCACTTCGCTCGGGAGCTCCCGAACGAAGTGAACACCACCCTCCCCCTCAGAAATCGTGGGGGGTAGGGGTAGGGTTCGCATGCGGTCCCCCACCCCTGCGACCCATAGCAGCGTCGAACATGTTCCAATATTGGAAAAAGAAAAAAAAGGCAGACACACAAACTTGTGGCGCTCCGCGCGGATTTCGATCCGCGCTGGACCCCCCTCCCTGGCGCGCGGAGCGCGCCGGGGGCGGCGCAGGAGGCGCCGCCGGGGAAGGGAGGGGGGACAGCGCGGATGCGAGAAATCCGCGCGGAGCGCCAGGCACTTGTGCTTACGGCGTTTTTTTTTTTCCTCGAGTCGGAGGTGTTCCGAGATGGCTTCGGGCCCTCTGCGAGCTCCGCCCCTGGGGAGGAGGGAGGAGGAGGAGGAGGAGAGGAGGAGGAGAGGAGGAGTAGGAGGAGGAGGAGGAGGAGGAGAGAGGAGGAGGAGGAGGGGCGGAGGAGGAGGAGGAGGAGGAGGAGGAGGAGAAGGGAGGAGGAGGAGGAGGGAGGAGGAGGAGGAGGAGGAGGAGGAAGAGGAGGAGGGAGGAGGCAGGAGGAGGAGGAGGAGGAGGAGGGAGGAGGAGGAGGAGGAGGCGGAAGAGAAAGAGGAGGAGGAGGAGGAGGAGGAGGAGGAGGAGGGAAGAGGGGCAGGACTCCCTATACCCTCCCATATTTTTCCTGGGTCGTCGCCCTCCCCCCACTATTTACCAGGTCTTCCCCACGAGTCGCCGCTGAATTGTGTCTGTGCGCTTTTTCCCCTCCTGACGGGAAGCTTTTAGGCACTGGTGAGGGGACTGGGGACCAGGCCTCGGAACAAATTAGCGAACACATGCCACATTCATCCGTCAACGCCTCCCCCTCCCCCCGATGCTCAAAGTGGGCGGTGGGTCTGATGAGATGCACTTCGACCGCAGTCTCCCCTGCGCGTGCCAACATTGAGTTTGGCGGGGAGGGGGAGTGTTCAGTAAGTGTTTCCCTCTACCGATGGGAGGAGGGTGTGTTCAGTCAACCCGTATAACAAGGATGCGCGGTAAGGATGCAAGGGCCTTGAAGGGTCGTGTGAACGTTTTTCGGACGATGTTGGCCAGCGAAAGTTACCAAGGATGGGCCGAAAGGACAAGGATGCAATGGTAGCCTTGGAAAGTCGCTCATCCTTACTATGCGGGTGGAATGTACTTGTACAGTCGGACCTGGGCCCAAAACGCATCCTTCAAGATCACGAGGCCCTCCGCAGGCCAAACTGAAGAGCATCCGAGCCTCGGATTCCGAGGGTGTCCTCCCCCAGAATGCACTATCGGCGGCGACGATAGGGGCGAATAGCCCAGGAGCGGGCATTACACGTATTCGCCCGGGAGCCTTTTCGAAGACATAGATCATCGGCCCACCTGAATACATGTATTGCTGGGCTATTCGCCCCTATCGTCGCCTCCGACACTAGAACATCCCACAAGCACGAACATTAGGGTATCCTTCCCGAACCGACCTCGATCTGATACCTCGGCCCGACTGTACACGGCAGGGTCGTCCTGTGCCGACTTCGGCGCAAGTTTCTGACACCACGGGGATCGTTCCACCTTGCACGATCGGCCGCTTCCGAGACGTCTGATCGTTCAATATCGACCGATTCCGGGCCGCCGCTGGCGTTCAACGATGAAAAACCGGCGGCGGGGTCACCGCTGGTCGACACGACGCGAACCCATCGTGCTTGCACTGCAGCATCATTGCTGCATTCTGGGTTCACTCTGGTCCACCTTCTCCTCCTCCTCCTCCTCCTCCTCCTCCTCCTCCTCCTCCTGCTCCTCCTCCTCCTCCTCCTCCTCCTCCTCCTCCTCCTCCTCCTCTTCCTCGTTGTTCCTAATAGATGACTTCTCGCTGCCGCACCCCCAAGCGGGTCGGATGGGCGGGCCGAGCGCTTCCTCGGAGACGTCCTCGCAACGTGGTACCCCGAAGCTTAACACTCGAACCAGCTACGCGGATGGATGGGGAGATCTAGATGGCGCGCTCGCCTCCACACCGCGCGCACATGCTTTTACAGAACCTTGCGGCCACTGCGTGGATGGAGGACGGCTGCTTTCAGAATGTGACTCCTCCCACGTTTGATCTCCTCCACGTTGAGAAGCATGAGGTTGAACAGATGTGGCAACTGCGCAGATGGGGAGCGGTCCATTTACGAAACGAGGCGCTCGATGCACACATCGTTGAACTTTCTGTGAATATCTGCTCGCGTTCCTTGTAACTAACTGCTCCATTTCAAAACGGGGCTCCCGCCTGAATGGCAGGTCAACAGGGTGCTCGTCTTTCAAGCGGGCGCTTCGTTTGGTTAAGATGAGGGCTTGTACGGACTTCCGAGGGGCAGGACTTGGGACGGGAGTGTGTTTTACATAATCGTTCATGCATCCTGGGTTTACTCTGGTCCTTCTCCTCCTCCTCATCCTCCTACTCCCTCATCTGCCGCCAAGGACGGACATGAAGAACGCCGCTCGCAACTGCGTCCACCCTGTCATCCCGGCGTCTCGGACAGCTGATGCGCTGCTTGGGTTGGAACGTTCAGACTCCTCGCGCGCGTTCGCTTTCCCTCGCCGAGCCACCTGTCCCCGCCGGTGGTGCTGCAGATCCTCCCGAACCATCTCCACGAAGCTGAGGGGAACGTCGAGCTGGGCGCGCGCAATCCATCCAACTGCAACGCACCGCGAACACACACCTATACTGATCCTGCGCATGCTGCGAAGAGGAACACGGACAAGACGGCATGAGGCCGGGGAGGTGCAAGCTGAATTGCTGAAAGCCAGTGCACATGTATATTGTTCAATTTGCAAGGAGAGGAAACATAAAAACGACGTTGCCCTCCTCCTCCTCATCCTCCTCCTACTCCTCAGCACGCAGAGAGAGAGGGAGAGAAAGAGAGATAGAGAGAGAGAGAGACAGACAGACAGACAGACAGACAGACAGACAGACAGACAGACAGACAGACAGACAGACAGACAGACAGACAGACAAAGAGAGAGACAACAGACACACACATATATATATATATATAACCACGCGTGCGCTTCGCGCGCTTAGTTTCTAGTCAGCCCCAGCCCTAGGCAAGTTCACATAGCCACTTAAACATTTACCTATACATGGGTGGATCAGGGGGTACCGCATCTATAACGCCAGCAGAACGGATACGAGTTGCCGACAAAGACCTTTCCAAAAGATTCAATGCAAAACTATGCACACCATTGACAGCAATGGTGACCAAAACGGCAGCGCAGTGCAATGCATTGGAATGTAATCAAACCATATGCGGGTCTAGTGCGGCCCGAAGCGTTACAAGCACAGTTTATCAGAACACACGCATAGCAATACAATGACATGCAACGCAAGGCAAAGCGAAGCAACGTAGAGCAATGTTCGCCAGTGAAATGTGGATCACGCAGCAATTCAAGTGCACATGCAACGGGAAGCGACCCAACGTAGCACAATGCAACATGGTGCAACATCGTGCAGACGACCGAGCATGATTCCAGGAATTCAGGTATCCCAGGGACGAGCCGCCCTAGAAAAAGGCCAGGAGCACCCCACAGGGGAGCCCAAGACAGGGCCAAAGGGCACCCACGAACAGCGAATGGGCTCTCCGAGAGAGGCTCCAAGGGCCTCCAAGGGGGGCCCACGCGGGGCACGGGAGGGACCCAAGAGGCGCTCCAAGAAAGCCAGACGATGGCGTCAGAAATCCAAAAGCACCCGAAACCCAAAGCACCCGAAACCCAAAGCAACGCCCCCTCAGCCCGAAATGCAAGACGTGAGGGCCCACGAGCAGCCCCAAGAGTGGCGTCAAGGGTGCCGCACGGAAATCCCGAAGCGGACTCCAAGGAGCCTCTTGTTGGCCTGGCAGGGGTGGAGCCTGGCGCGCGCGGCACCAAACTCGCACTGGACGCCCGCGGCGAAACGGAGGCAGCGGAGGCACCGCGACGGTGGCGGCGGCAAGAAGCGCCCCCCCCAGGCTCTAGCCAGCCGCAGCCTTTGACTGAAGTAATGACCCACACATGTTTTGAACTCGAAGTGAAAAATACCAACCACGCGGATCACATAGCATCTTCTTGGGGCCCTCTTGGAGGACAGCGCTCCGTGGCCCCATAGGGAACTCCACTGAAGGCCCCAGTGGCAGGGTCTGCCTGCGCCAACGCCACCAAGGACAGCGCTCCGTGGCCCCATAGGGAACTCCACTGAAGGCCCCAGTGGCAGGGTCTGCATGCGCCAACGCCACCAAGGACAGCGTTTCGTGGCCCAATGGGGAGCTCCACCGAAGGCTCCAGTGGCAGAGTCTACATGAGTCAACGCCACTCAAGACAATGTTTCGTGGCCCCACAGGGAGCTCCACCGAGGGTTCCAGTGGCAGGGTCCGCATGCTTCAACGCTTCCGACGACAGCGCTTCGTGGCACCATAGGGAGCTCCACCGAAGGCGGCAGTGGCGCAGTCCGCATGCGTCAACGCCGCCCAGGACAGCGCTTCGTGGCCCATTAGGGAGCTCCACCGAAGGCTCCAGTGGCAGGGTCCGCACGCGCCAACGCCATCCTGGACAGCGCTTCGTGGCCCCATAGGGAGCTCCACCGAAGGCTCCAATGGCAGGGTCCGCGTGCGTCACCGCCACCCAGGACAACGTTTCGTGGCCCCATAAGGAGCCCCACAAAAAGCCAAAATAACACCGTTCGCATGCGTCTCCCCCAACCAGGACAGCGTTTCGTGGCCTCATACGGAGCTCCACCGAAGACCCCAATGACACCGTTCGAATGCCCCTCCACCCAGGACAGCGCTTCGTGGCCCCATAGGGGGATCCACCGAAGGCCCCAACAACACCGTTCGCATGCGTCTCCCCCACCCGCGACAATGCTTCGTAGCCCCATAGGGAGCTCCACCGAAGGTCCCAGTGGCGCCGTTCGCATGCGTCTCTCCCACCCAGGGCAGCGTTTCGTGGCCACATAGGGAGCTCCACCGAAGGCGGCAGTGGCGCAGTTCGCATGCGTCCCCCCCACCCAGGGCAGCGTTTAGTGGTCCCATAGACAGGTCCAACGAAGGTCGCAATGGCGCAATTCGCATGCGTCTCTCCCACCCAGGACAACGTGTCGTGGCCCCATAGGGAGCTCCACCGAAGGCTCCAGTGGCGGTGTCCA